GGATGAAGCATATGGCAAAAATAGGTGTGACATCAGGTAACCATCGGATTTCACATTCCTTTGGAGTATCAGATTAAAATCGACGGACTTTACTGCATCTGAGCAAGTTTATGTAACCATTGGTTACCCAAAAGTAAGGTGCATTCTTGGCTGATTGGCAGATTCTAAATTTGAACACTACTCAATGATTGGCGACACAGTTGACATGATCTCTGAGGAGTATCCAGAAGCTGAACTGTATGTGGCTGGTGACTTCAACCTACCTAAGGCTGGATAGACTAACAAGGACATATGTGCAGTGGGTATTCCTTATGATGATGATTACGTCTCACCTCGAGTAATTCAAAAAATTGCTACAAACTCAGATCTTTGTGCTTTCCATAACCTTTTTTCAGAATAATTTTATTCATAATGCAAATGGAGTTTTTCTCGATTTAGTTCTGTCCCACAAAGTCCTTTTCCGGAAATGTTATAGGAGTTTAGTCCAAAACTCTGAAAATTACCTTTCTACTAAATCAAAACCATTTTTGAAATTTCTGTAATTCTAAACGCAATGCGCCTGAGATACCTAATCTTGCAGATTATTTTTCCTCGGTCTACTCTGCCTGAAACCCACAATGCAATCAAAAGTTGTCATTGAATCATATGAATGGTCACAATTACTCCATTTCCATAATATGTAACATAAAATAAACTGAGCTTAGCTTGAATCCTCACAAGGGTCCGGTTCCTGATAATATTCAACCTGTCTTTCTTGAAAACTGCCCCTTTATTCTCGCTAGGCCCCTACACATTATATTTGATAAATCTTTGAAAAGTCGATCTTTTTCCAAATTCTGAAAAACAAGTTTTCTCGTCCCAATACAAAAATCTGGAGATAAGTCCAACATACACCGGCCCATTTGCGTCATCAATATCATTCCAAAATTTTTTGAAAACCTTGTAACTAAGCTCGCTATTATCTCCTGAAATCATTAACCAGCAGTTCGACTTCTGTGTGAGGAGAAATACTGAACTTGTCTCCTTACCTATTCTCAGTTTGTATTGCAGGCCTTGGAAAGTGGAGCCTAGGTCCATTCCATCTACACAGGCTTCTCCAAGGCTTTCGATAAGGTTCCACATAATGTACTGGTAGACAAACTTGAAACGATTGGTATAAATGAACCCTCGATGGAGACAGAATATCCTTTAGTGCCCCATAGACCTCAGGACCTATCAATGTAACAAAAATACCATATTTTTTTTTCCTCTTTTTCTAGATCATTATATGTGATCCATGCGTTGGATATATGAATTTATATCAGACTGACTTGGAGAAAACGGCTCAATACCACCGACAAACGACTTTTTTTTTTCTGGAACTTGACATTTTGACACTATTACACGAATCTCTAGCTCTCGCAAGGTTTCATCGTGTAAATAAGACACAGCCCAAAAAAAGATTATCCCAACTCGATGTTTTCTTATTTGTAATCTCGCAAATAATTTCCTTAATCTCTTATATTGATGTTGGGCAGAAAAATAATGTTTCAGCCACCACAAAGTGCTCCAGATCCATAAAATCATTCTTGTCCAGATCCATAAAATCGTTTTTGTCCAGAGAATTCGGAATCTATGTTCAGCTGGATAGTGGTCTGTGTGAACGCTACATTTACGGAAAGGCGCATATTATGATAAATTTTGGAGTAATAGAACGAGGAAATCAACCTTGTGAACTATGGCATACTCTGATGTGTGTAGACCATTTCAAAGACCTGAATCTGGATATAAGTACTATGTTCTGTTCAAAGATGATTACAGCAGGGTTTTGTTTACTTTATGATAGAAAAATCGGAGGTTACTGAGAAATTGGAGTTCTCAAATTCAAATTCAAAATTTTATTATCACATTAAGCATTTTACAGTTATAGTCAAATATACCATATATTACTAAATTACAAAATTTCATAAGAGCGTATTATTTATATAAAATTTCCTTAACTCTCCCGTTGAACTTATTTAAAGAGTCACAAAATATATCAACATCATTACAAATCTACTAAATCATTAACCAATCGACAGATTCTACTTAACGAGGAATTGAAATCATAATTGGTTCTGTGAAAGTCGACATTAAAAAGCAATCTATTGCTGGTATTAAAGGGGGAAATACGAAGCCCAATGGCTGTGAGAAGATATGGTGCATCAATGATGTTATTAACAATTTTATAAAGTGATGACATGTCAAAAAAATTTCTTCTGCTTTCCAAAGAGGTTAAATTTAGAAGTTTCATTATCTCATTTCCTCATAAGTTTTTCCCAATTTAAATTCAATTATTTTTAAAAACCTGCGCTGGACTCTTTCTATTTTATCTTTATGTATGACACTCGGTATGACATATTCAAGAATTGAACGAATCAAGGCACAGTATATTTCTCTAAAAGGAAAAAATGTTTTCAAACGCTCTCAAAGTTCGAAAAACAAAACCAGGAAGACCCTAATGCTAATAATTTCTATATGGTTATCAAAAGTGAGTTCAGAATCTAACAACACTCCAAGATCTTTGATTAGACTTTACCTTTCTAGTGGCTCAGAGTCCAGACAATCTTCAAAAAGAACAGGATTTTTTGTTTTATAAAAAGTTACAATTTTACATTTAAGTACCTACATTTAATGTTAAATTATTAGTTTTGCACCATAAAGAGAATTTACTAAGATCTTCTTGCAATAACCGACAATAAGTTGCAGAATTAATAATTCTAAAAGCCTTTAAGTCATCCTGCCAAGAAACTGGCAGACATGAAAAAATCTCTTACATCATTAATAAACACATTAAAAAGGAATGTTGAGAGATGCCCACCTTGTGGTACAACTGAAGTTACTGTTATCTGAAATGATATGAAATTCCTGATTTTTACAGACTGTTTACGTCCCCTCAAGTTGCTCTCGAACCAATTAAGAAGATATCCAAAAATCACAATTAACAAAATAACATGATCAACTCAAAAGCCTTCGAGAAATCAGTATGCATTGCATAAACCTTCTGTTTGTGTAAGAAGCTAGAAATATGAATAACATAGAGAGTTCCTTAGCGATAACGGTTGACAATCAAAGATTACGAATGATTCCCAACGCAGAAATGAAATACGTTGAAACCTCATTATGCCTTACACTCCGGAACAAAATGACTGTTCAGAACATGAATATCGGACTGTATGTACCTAGTAGAGACAGCAAGGAGCCTGTTCCAATCAACTTTCTCAGAGTCTGTGGGCTGAGATGGTGAACACTGCTGTACACATCTTTAACAGACTAGAAAAGTCAAGTGTGGCTAATAAAATTTGGATTGGTAAGAAACCAGGACTGAAAAACTTAGGAATTGTTCGATTTACATGTTACTATTACGCTCACATTCCAAGAGTGAACAAAAAGTAAATGGAGAGAGAACCATTAAAGGAAATTTTGATTGGCTACGACAATGATGATGGTTATCGTATTTGGTCAAAACAAACTAGAAAACTGATGCGATCACGAGATGTCATTTTTGGAGAGTAACCTACATCATTTCCAAATCCAAGCGGTAGTAATGACATTAAATAACCTTAATTGTCAACAAACACCACACCAGCCTTCCTATTGGTTGAAACGCCCTACTTGTACCAGTGCGCATGCACAGAGGACATTTGATAGGTTGTAATGAAAATGACCAGTTTGTCATTTACTGCCGCTTGGATTTGGTTCAACCATAGAATATCAGATTACGCAGTCCTTCAAAACTCATCAGAAAAATCGAAGTTACATATGCCTGAAACACAAGATGATCTTTGTCAAAATGAAGAAGACCTAAATGTTAATGATTTAGAAAATGAACAAGACATGAACTTGATTTAATACATAAAGATGACATGAAAAGTGTTGCAAAACATGAAGCTTTAGAAGAAGATGATATAAGTAAGGAAGAAGATATTTTCACGCGAAATCGAGTTGGAATTAAAAATCACAAAGACAAGATGATTTTGTCATGAAAACCCATAAAAAACGAGCATTTTTGTATCGCGAATTTATATAAAGAATTACCACTTCTAACCCGTAACTGGTGAGGTCATTTTTTGTTACATAACCAGTGAGGTGCGGGGTTTGCTAAACCCGATATGAAAAAGGCGATTCCAACCTCCAGCCATTAGTTAATACGTGGTGAAGATTCCTAAAATCTGTGGAGTTTGAGAAACACTACCTCATCAGTTACGGGTTAAAAATAATCCAAGTTTTTGGAAAAAAAAGTCGTGATAGTTCATAAAAAGTCCAGCTAGTAAATATTTCCTACAAAATTCAAATATTGTTGAAGTTACTATAGGGACATACATAGATAGTCGAAAATATGTAATATATTCTTCCAGAAATTATAATGAATATCACCCGGATGCCAAACCTTTATTGATGACCTTTAAAAATGTTCATAATGATCTGGTTGATGAAATTATATAAAATATTTTCACTAGTAAATTATCAGGTTACATTTTGATTATTTTATTGCATTCACTTATTATAAATTATGCAAATTTAATTGAGAATCCCATTATTCGTATTTCAATCGCCACAATACCGAAAACTTGTTGGATCAAGCAAGTTTAAACAAAATTGTTTTAATGTCTTCGTTACAAGTACAGACAGGAAAACTCAAGAGAGTTTGAACATGTTCAATACCCTTCCACCCGTAGAATTTAACAACAACTATGGGGTTTAGTAAAAGTTTTACATCAGTATATTGTAAGGTTCTTTGGGGAAAGAACCTAAAAGTTGTTTAATATGAGTAAAAAAGTGATGCATAGGAAAAAAGTCCGCGCTTCGGTGAAAAAGGGTGCCACAATCGAATTTTCTACTCAACATGAAGTGGTACCAAGTACCAGTAGTGCTTGCTCTTCAGTGGGAAAAAGGAGCAAGATTAGTATCACTATGACATTGTAGGTAAATTAATTGTTTTTAGAAACTATTTACATGTATTCACAAGATTTTTGTTTCAAAGGGAGAAGATTTTTGTTCCAAAGAAAGAGACTCGCACTTAGTTGTGCAACGTTTTGTTCTCCAATAAAAAATACTGTTTCACAAAGTTGACCTTGCCAATACTAATTAAATGGCAATTTGTATTTTTTTGCTAATTACCAAAAAAGCAAAAACACAAAAGTAATTTCAACCTCAAAAATCACGGTCAATTATATCTAGTTGTGTAACACTTTGTTCAAAACATGCCAAAGCACCATTAAATTATAGTCTCAGTCAACAGAATAGAATAAATGGGAATCTCGACAACACAACATTCATTGTTGAAGACAAATAAATCAACACGAATAAAATAACTTTACAAATACATTTCCTAGTAGTAGTAGTAATAGTCAAGTCAGCACGCTAGCAGGTTCATCGCCTCCTACCTTGATAACGCGAGGCAATTTCAGGATAGTTTGTTAGTTGTAAATAAATCGTTGAGCAAGTGACATGGCTATTAATTAGGAAGTGCATTGTGGTGATTTTTTAATTGGATTATTATTATTGAGTTAGAAAATATGACGATTCATAAGTAAGTAGGGCCTTAAAAACTACAATCTGCAAATTGTAATTTGAACTTGAAATTAATTTAGTGCTTTTTGAAGGATAAAAGGTTACATAACATATAAAAGTAGGTGATAAGCAAGATATTAAAGTTGGTTTTAATAGATCAACCAAAACTGATTGAAACTTTGAGTTGCAAACCCATCTCAAAAATTGAACTTAATATTTTTCAATAAAATTAATCAGTAATTTTACCTTAATTTACCATATAAATTTCTGACTAGTACCTAATTATTAAAAAACCAAGATTAAGAATTGAGCACATCGTGAAACCTTGGCGCACCTCAACCAAACTATTGTTGCAACATTTCCATTTTTTGTAAACAATTTCTAGCTTCAACTAGGTACCACCTTTGTGATAAATTAAATAAATATTTATATTATTGATGTCTTACATCTCATGGCAAATTCATTCTCGGAACTCCTTTTTCATTAATTAACTGAATTCTTATCTAAAATGACAACTAAAGTGAAACTGAAACTTGCTTCTAAGAACAGGAAAATACTTCAATAACATATTTCGAATTTCTTTTCAAATAGTAGTATGTGGAGATATTTGGTATGACATTGCAGAGAAATCTTAAATGTTTAGTATAGTGGTAAAGAAATGCCAAGGTAATTAAAATAAATACTAAACAATCTTGAAATAATGATTTACTTGCATAATGGTATACTTAAAATAATTATTGTTAAATTTTTAATGGTACTAGAAGAAGAAATTCTAGATGTTCTAATGTAGAAAATAATTTTCCTATAATTAACAATCGATGTTTCTTTTTCAGATCCGATGGTACGGAAGCGTCCACCATCATCATCGACGATTCTCACGATAACAATTCTGAAAAACCGAAACAAGTCAGATATGGAGAACTAGTCATTTTAGGGTAAGAATCGTAACATTTGTATTTATTCTTACTAAACAAATAACTAATTGCATGAGAAGAAAATTGTTGTGGAATGGAAAAGTGGGCCCAAAAGCTTTTTCAACAATCCACAGCCCCCTAAGCAAAAATTAGCACAGCTCAAACTCCTTTGGCTTTTTTAATAAGAACTGTCCAAATAGGAAGTCAAATTGTATTTCAACATTATCCACGATGTTTTACTTCTTTTCAATCACTCAAATTTAGCCAAATGAGTTTATATTTGTGTAAAAGTGTTTCCTTTTAGCGTTTTCTATTGAAAAATCCTAAGTGGGTGTAAAACTGCATTTCAACTAAATTTTCCGTATTTTCCACAGGTATTCAGTATATTCAATTAGAATAAATTGAACATTTCTGCATGTAAATATAAAGTAAATTGCATTCAATTGTATTGTATTGGATATATAGCAATCAGAATGAAACATAATATTATCAAACTAACTAAAAATTTACTGAGTGTTTCATTTAAAAAAATGTTATTTGTGTGCATAACTGTCAAAATATATTAGTCTTTTGTTTTTTGCGCATCCTATCTAAAACTTGGGCAACAACCCTACAGTATATTTTTTTATTTATTGAAATAACTTTAAAAATAAAGAAATTATGACAGTTTGGAATGTTATCAAGATAAAGTGACCACACTGTACCTGTAGACAATGACAAATTAAAAATATCACACAAAATTTGAGACAGAATGAAACCTGCAGCCCTCTAGAAAAACAAGAGGTATGCCATCTGGCCCAACACCGAGGCTCTGCTTGAATTTACAAATTCTGTCAAAAACATCAAGTGGAGATAGCTTAAGCTGCCCAAGATCAACCATCCTCTCCGATTCACAAGAAACAACCTCAGAATTGTCATATTCCGAATACACCGATGCAAAATGACTATTGAACACGTCAACTATATCCTGTGGATCATCACTCTCCCTTCCATTGAGATTTATGCACTGAGGATATTCAGAGTTTCCTTTTTTCGAATTTACATATTTCTAGAAACTCTTTTTGTCTTTGAGCTGACTTACTAAACTTGTTATGTATTCTTTATGTGATAACCAAGGGGCAAACCACCTAGGAATTGTTTGCCAAAAATGTGAGGAATTTAGAGGAATTTGTGCGGTATTTGAAGGAACTCATCGGAATTTTTGAGGATTTGGGGAATTTATAGGGAATTCGGAGAAATTTATGGGGAATTTGTGCGGAATTTATGAGGAATTTAAAGGGAATTGTAGAGTCATGACGTCACTGAGATTCACATTCTTATTATAAGACATACTAATAAATGGAAATTTAAAAAAAAAAACTAGTTTTGTGTTGAACGTTGAACATTCATTTTCATTAAAGAATTCTCCCAAAATTTCACTTCATGATTTACAGGTCCAAATTTGAAAAATTCAAAACAATGATAAGTACAGTTTTTGTAGGCTGATTTCCAAGATTCATGTGGTCATTTTCCACTGAAAAAATTTGAAATTTTGGGAGAATGAGCTTCTAACCTTCCTCTTTACATGTAAAAAGTTTTAAAATTTTCCGTTCACTAGTTTTCCAGGAAAACTTTGAAATGTGTGAGACTGTATTTTCAACTAATTCAATTTTTGTAGGTTGATTTCCAAGATTCTTCATGTTGCTGTTTTCCACTGGAAAAATTTGAAATTTTGGGAAAATAAGCTTCTCCCCTTTCCCTTTACATGCGAAATGTTTCAAAATTTTCTCTTCACTAGTTTTCCAGGAAAACTCTGACCTTGCTCTTCACCTGTAAAAAGTTTCAAAATTTTCCCTTAATAATTTAAAGTAATTTCATTCAGAAAACTACTATCTTCTCAACGAGAATAATAAACTACAAACTACAACTTAGAACAAAATTGCATTTATTAAATTAAAATCACATTTTCTCCATTTTTGACTTTTTTTCAATCAAAATTTCTCTGAAGTACATAGTTTAAATTTGATCCAAATGTGTTTCCTTGTGGCGTTTTCCATTGGAATTGCGGGAGAAACTTTTTTAAATGGGTGGAAATTGCATATTTGACATTTTATCAGTTTTCTCCAATACAAATCCATCCAAATAGTCTAAATTCGTTCTATTGAAATATCAACAGAAACTGTCCTAAATAAGTGTAAAACTGCATTTCCACATTTTCCGCGATATTTCCATTTCTTTTAAATCAAAATTAGTGTTGAAATCTGCGTTCAACAATAAAACAGCTTAAATAATAGTCATACAAACCGTATTTCTGGTTCAAATTTATATTTGAAACCACATAATGGTCTAAGCTTGCTCTAAATGTCTCTGTTTTTGGGTTTATCTGTCGAAATATCAAGAGAAAGTGTTCTAAATGGGCGTAAAATTGCATTTAAAGCCGAATTTTCCGTGATTAAGAAGAAGGAACCGACGAAATAAAGATGAATTGAAGCTGAAACAAAAAAGCAAAGGTAAAGCTTGCAACAAAACGAGCACGCATGCTTTAATTCGATAAAATTCACCTTCGGCGGACGAATTGTTTCCATTAGAACTCCATGACTGGGTCAAAGTAAAATTTAAATTTATTTAATCCAGTAGGTATACCCTCGAGTATATCTATTTCTCAATGGAAATATTGAATTTCATATTTTAAAAATGGTTTTATTCGCCTGTGCACTGACACTACTCCTGTTTTCAAGATCAAGATCAGCTCACTTTGTAGTATAACATACCCGGGTTCGTTCAGTAAGATTGAACGATGAGGATTTTTCTGAATAATTAAATGAAAAAAAAAAAAAAAAAACAAATAGGACCTACATTGTGGAAACTTACTCAATCTTACTTACTGGACTTGCGCCCAACATAGCAAATAGATGGGAAATTTAAGGGAAGCTGTGATATGTAAAAGAAACGAAAAATTTATGAAACATCTACTTGATTATTAAAGTAAATCGTACCGTTCTCGACCTGAAATTTAAGAGGGGAAAGAGCACGGCAGAGAAACCCTCGATCTACATTCCTCAAAAATCGAAACATGCTGTGTCCTTTTAATAATAATTGTGAGTCATTAATTCAATAATTAAAGTCAATAAAAGTTTAAATTAGGTACCGCCCCTGTTATTGTGCTAACATTTTAATTACACACACTACATTCAATCAACACTACCTATAATCAATACTGAAGAGTTTTTTGTTAGTTAGCCGGTCTGCCGGAAGGTACTGAGGTACCATACGGGATGCTACCCAGCTATAGTTGTTTTTGAGCCAATATCTCTAGATTGATTATTTCAATTTTTTAGGATATTCTCTCGTCAGGGTAGGAAAATGTTAGTAAATTCAACAAAGCTCTAATGTACGCTCTGAATACACAAAATCAAAATCTCAGCACAAAAAGACAGCACATAATTTCTTAGGTTTTTAATTTACTTCTTTATCTGTGTTACAGCATGAAACAATTTTTGTTAAATACATGAACAATGCATATGTTATAAAAAATGTTATAAAGAAACAAAAAAACGATACTTGTATAAATAATTGAACTCTCAAAAACAAAATAACAATTATTCAACTGACCTGTCATTGTCTCTTTGACACACGCACTAATTACAAATTAGATTGAACAATCAATTTAATGCAAAATAAAAATAAAAATTGAATAATGAATAATTACAGACAGCTCGTTCTGTAGTCATTGGGTTATTCATGCTGAAGATGTACTTTAATTTGCCGTAAGCCGCCCATCCTAGTTTAATTCTCCTATCAATTTCCGTTTCTTGATTTTGTTTGCCCGGTGTTATAGCTTGGCCAAGGTACATGCGAGGTTATATGTATGTTGCTGTCTTTCCTGTCTTTTTTATTGTGCTGTCTTGGATCGGCATTGTGACGTCTGTTTCTGATGTATTTGTAATAAACTGGGTCTTTGTGTATTTCATGTGTAATCCTACTTTTGCCGCCACATATCTTATGTCAATTCCTGTTCCTTTAGTTGGTAAACATAGAGTTTTCGCTCTAATCTGTTGGTGATTATTCTGGTAAATAATTTATATATCTGTGATAGTAAGCCTATCGGCCGGTAGTTTTCGAGGTTAGTCGGGTCACCTTTCTTGTAGATCAGAACAAATACACATTCTTTCAATCTTTGGGTATATGTTCTTCTGTTAGGCACTTATTGAATAGTTTCACTAGTTCTTGTCTCGTCTTAGTATCGCTTTCCTTGAGCAGTTCAGGCAGAATGTTGTTTCCTCCTGCCGCTTTACCATTTTTCATCTGGGATAACCCTTTCTCCAGTTCTTTCATATTTATGTCGGGCATTTCTTCTGAGTTTGTATTTACTATTTGTATTTTGTGTTCTCTTGTCCTTGTGTTTGCTATTTTAGATTCGTACAGATCTCTGTAGAAAGATTCCGCAACTCTTAATATCTGTTGTCTGTCTTCTATTATGTTGTTTTTCGCATCCTTTATTTTTGTTACCTGTTTCTTAGGTGTGTTATGTCTGTGTATATATTTAGTCCTTTGTTCTGTTCTAATAGATATTGCACTTGTTTCGTTTGATGTTTTAGTATATCTTGTTTCGCCATTTTTCATGCTGTTTTGTTGGTTTCTGTGGATTCAATAGTGTCTATTTTACCCTCGGTTATCAGTTTTCTCTTTTTCTTTAGTAGCTGTTTTGTTTCTATCGACAGTTTGTCCGGCGTTTTCTCTAGGGGGCCTATTATCTGTTCTGCTGTTTCTTTTATAATTTGTGTTGTTATTGTTATCATCTAATGACTCTTCTGTTTTTCCTGGATTGTTGGAAAAGTTTTCTTTCAGCCTTTGTTTGTATTTTCCCTTATCTCTGCTATCTTTTCTCTACTTCCTCTCTTTGTCGTTTGTTTCATCTTTGTTTGTCTTTCCATTTTTGTGTTTATAAGCAGTTTGCATGTTACCATCCTGTGATCACTGCTGGTGTTGAATTGATTGACTACATCTACGTCTTGGATTATGTGTTTAGGGCGGGAGATTATAATGTCAATCTCATTTTTGGTTTGTCCATCTGGGCTATTCCATGTCCATTTACGTTTCTTTTCCTTTTGGAAGAAAATGTTCATCAGATAGAGTCTTTCTCTTACTAGGAAGTTTGCTAACATCTTTCCCCTACCATTTCTGGTGCCGAGTCCGAACTGTCCTATGAGCGTTTCCGTTGGTTCTGCTCCTCTGCCTATTTTTGTATTAAAGTCTCCTCCTAGAATAGTGTGCATCGGTGGGTTCTCTCTTATTGCTATCGCTATGTCTTCGTATACCGTTTCCACCTCGTCATCTACACGAGGAAGTTGGAACATAAACTTGTATCTTCTGTATAATTGGTTCAATTTTCTTGGTTTCACACCACTGGCAATTCACTCTCGACTGAAGCTTTATGATGTATTATCCAAAAACGTTGTCCCATTTCATTTATTACAGTTTCTAAACCCTGATGTGGAAACTGTTCATGATACTTTTGAATAAGTTTCGATGGTAAAATAACTGTACTTCTTGTCAATGTACACAGTATGTGCCAAGTTTATTCCTCCATCTACCACAAGAATACCTGTTGCGTCGAGCTTCGATGATAGCTTCCATATGCTATTCTTTGTTTGGACACAAGTTTTTCCTTTTGGAAACATTTCATTTCTTCTGCATAACTTTCTAATTGACATTGTCTTATCCATATTGATTCAGCTTCTTTTAAATCTCGTACTGTCAACTCCCCTGATGACTGACTTCTTTTCTGGACAATAATAATAAACCTAAAAACTCTTCCTGCTGCACCTATTAAACATAGCCATTTTAAAAAATGTTCTATGTAAGGTAAAAACTGACATGTTACTAAAATGTTATATAGTTGAACCCAAACATTTTGGCTGTGTAATTTGAGACTCCAAATTTTCAAAAAATATATATCTTTTTTGGTCCATAACAATTCGTCTTTTTCTTTGAGAAAGTCAGGACCTAAGTGCCATGTTTTGAAATCTGTCATAACTGTACATACATACTTTGTGTGTGGTATGTTCTTGCCGCAAGGTCAGCTGGATAAACAATCTGCTTTCCAGTCTTGTCATGAAGATGGCCTTGATAGGAGAAACTCTTTCTCTGACCTTGATAAGTAAAGTGTCAATCTTTTCTTTGGTAATTACTCGTATATAAACAGTACATACAAATTCCTGAAGTATTCTGTCTTGAATTGACAAATTGACTATCAAACCTAATGGGTAGAAAACATAACATGACAATCTTTAGAACTTGCCTCTTGGTTGGTTGACAAGTCTTAGTAATTTCTCTGTCAAAATTGCTAGGTACCTACTTGAAAAAATATAAGTTTTATGCTTTCTACTACAAATAATATTATATACTATTCAGTTTGTACTGAAAACATACGAAATTTCCAGATCCTTATACCCGAGCTTATACCACACGTTATGGCTAAATGTCTCAATAACAAAAAAACCATTATAAATTTAATAACCCATTCATCGCATCTAATTAGATTATGCTGCAACGTGACCAACTTCAAGCTGAATCAAATCTAATAATTAAAAAAAAGAAGAAGAAAAAAAAACGTAGGCGAACCAACAGTAATAATTAATGACGCCAATCCAGCAAGAATCAAATTAAGAATTCAGGCCTTTCATGTGTGCCTCGACGATTAAATTCTGCCTGGGTGTCGAAGAATACCCACAAGTGTTTAATAATTAGACATTTAACGCACGTGTTTTTTTGTTGCTGATCATGATAAATCATGTGGCGGAGGAAGCCATCCAAAGGCGATTTCTTTGAGGTGAACGTGCATGAAAAATGAATAGGCGAATTATTAAATTAATTAAAAATTAATATCGCGTAAAAATTTGCTTCATCCCTCAGATATTGCTAATTAAAAAAATTAATTATTATTCATCAAATTGTTATAGTTAACGTTCATTTCACATCAACGTTTATAATGATGCAGTTTGCACGTGTTACAGATATCCAGCCAATTAAGGCTTTTACAATAATTACCGTATTATCGGCAGAGAAACAACTTTCCCACAATAAAAATAACTTTCGTCGAGGATCACCTTCACCTTCGATTGCCATATTTAGCCGCAAAGGATTTTTCTTTCTAATAAACTGGGAATTTATGCTAATTTGGTAACTTTTTGTTAATTTGAGACAACTTGGGTTACTATAGGATATGTAATTTCACTTAAATTAAAATGCAATGTAAGTAATATCTATTAGCAAATTGAGAAATATTTAAAGACCTAAACATGGATCATTCTTCGATTCAGAGAGTTTTGGGACTTTTAGAATGGATACGTTATTGATACATTTAGCCATAGAGTGTGGCATAAGGTTCTGGAAATTTTGTGTGTTTTGAGTACAAAATGAATAATATATAATATTATTTGTGTAGTAGAAAGTATAAAATTTATATTTTTTTTAGTAGCTCATGAAATACTACACCCCATGTCAATCAGTTATCATGAATAGGTATTTAAAAAAAAGTATGCATGTAAATTGACATGAAAATATTTCGACCATTTTTCAATGACAGATCAAATATTATGTTCAGCCACTTTTTCAAACAAAACTTCTCTCTAACATTTTCTCATTTCCCATACACAGTTTCGTATGTGAAGTCAAAGCAAATAAGAAACTGAAGCTCATTTTCTTCAAGAACTGTGCTCTGAATCGACTAAAATTCTTATCTCTATTCGTCCTTGCCTTCTTAAGGTTCATTCAACTTGTGTAAAAATTCCTGAAAATGTAGAACAGGCCGCTTTTCTATTGACCCTTCAATATTGACTGAAGCGCGATAGCAGGAAAAAAAAGTTAATTTGACGTATATTCCATGAAAAATACAGTTTTGTGGTAATTTAATATTCCCATTGTGTTAAACCAACGGGAAAATAATATTTTTTGGAGCTTTTGTAAAATTCGTTGATTTTCATTTCGTAATTTCTGGAATATTGTTTGGATGCTACATAAATTTTCTTCAGGACTTTTGCTTGGTAAAATTACGTCGTCAAGACCAACTGCAGCTATGTCGCGATATGGGCCCTAATATTTGATTCATCATGCACTGGAAGACTGCTGTAGCGTTACTGAGTCCAAATGGCATTCGGTTGTACTCGTATTGTCTTTCAGGTGTAACAAAAGATGTAAGGTGTTAACAGTGTTTACTATGTTCGGCTATTGAAATCTGGTGGTATCCTGAGCTAAGGTCTAAACTGGTGAATACTGAACATCCGCTTAAAAAAGTTGCCCTTTTACACTTTAATTTTCAGTTGTTTGCACTGGATTTATTTGCTGGATGTTGACTTTATTGACACCACTAAAAATGTTTGTTTACCTAGAATTGAGACAAAACTACTTTTGATATATGACTAATTTGTCCTCGAATTTGTCCCAAGATTGGCAAATTCACATAAAATTACATCAAAAATCCAACAAATAGTTCATAATTGTTCTTTTGGTTTCAGTTACAATGGATTCCTGCCACAAGGCGATCGCGGCAGAAAACGTAGCAAATTCGTTCTCTACAAGAGGCCGGCCGCGACCGGCGTCAAACGCTCAAGACACTACGTGGTCAAAACGCCGCACTCGTCGCAAGCCATTTTGGACACTAACCAGCACTCGATCTCGTACACGCTTAGTAGAAACCACGCCGTTATCGTAGAATATACCAACGATGAGGATACCGATATGTTTCAGGTAAATATTAAGTAGTTGGATTATGATCTGACAATTATTGTTCCCATTGAATTATTCAGTTCAAGAAAATATACAATCGGGTCGTCAATAAGAGTTAGTTCAAAGGAATTTAGATGAATATAAGATTCATACACCAAACTAGTTTGGTTAGACAGTGATAATATTCTATGATTCACTTTTGGTAGTTCTTTCTCAACACAATTTTGCGTTCTGAGTAAATGCGAATTGTTGTAACAAATAAGAATGTCCGTAGTTAGTTGGTGATTTAAATTGAAACAGTTTATTAGCATTCAAGATCACATAAATGACAGAAGCTTCGTCAATATAAGTTAACACTTGGGGCTTAGAGAGAATCTCGTTTTTAAAATGACTTTTTTCATTTTTGAGAGTTTTAGTGTTCCTTTTCCCCTCGTTTCTCCCTATATAAATATTTTGTACTTGGTACTCAACACTTATTATTTCTTTGTCAATTTTTTTCTAATTCTTCCTATTCTACTTTTGTGGTCATTAATAATTGATTCCTGATCCCAGGTCCTTCACTTCCCTTTTATCCATGTCTGTTGACTTAATTCTCCAAATATATTTTTTCGAAACTTCCTCAATTTCTATTACTTATAGCCCCCTGCCTTTCAAAAAACTCCATGAAGGTTTTGTGTTGGATCGATTTGCAATTTATGCAGTAATAGCATGCAAGAGCCTCACATGCTATTCCAGATGTTCAAGTGAACCATGTAAAAAGTAATTAGCAGTTAATTACTGAAAACCATAAACTGTTAACAATAAATCTTGTACTTACGGCAACATATTATATTATCCCGGTACAACTTACTTACATACAGTTTCATTCTAATACGAATAATTTCTATGCTCAGATTAATGTTTTAGTTTCTACATTTTTCATGTCCAAACTACGTATTAAACTTGCCTAAATATTTTTTGATCTTCGCTCAGGAGACATAGGTATATATTTCTATATCCCATTTAAGCCTTTATATTAGCAAGCTGATGCGCACGATATTTTTCTAAAACTTTTCATCCTGGCACTTGGTGTCATAAAACTCTACAAACAAGTAAAACCCGAGCTCATTTCCTGCTGAAAAGGCAACAAAGTTTTTATCTGAACTTTTATATGGACTTAGAGGTTCATGCCACTGCAATAAAAAATGTTGCATTGATTTTTTTTTCTCAGTTTTAGGGTGATTCGAGTTAAACTACCATAAATTCTATAGTCACTACAATGATGAGAAAATTTTGGATTAATTTTCTTTGCTTTTCGATCCATAGACGCGTTTCGACCTATATCAGGTCTCATCAGTATGGCTAGGAAAAGCAAAGAAAACCAATCCAAGTTTTGTGCATGTATGCAAAATAGAAGTAGTAAGACAGTCGAAATTTGATCGTGGCGCCATCTAAGACAAGGATTCAACACTAAACAGCAATTTTTGCTGTAGTTAGTGATGCCATCTAATAGGCCGACCAAAAATCAGTTCGTTGGGAAAACCCAAAATAGGAAAAAAAAAAGATTTCTCATTATACACTGATGAGAAAATTTTGGATTAATTTTCTTTGCTTTTTGATCCATAGACGCGTTTCGACCTATATCAGGTCTCATCAGTATGGCTAGGAAAAGCAAAGAAAACCAATCCAAGTTTTGTGCATGTATGAAAAATAGAAGTAGTAAGACGGTCGAAATTTGATCGTGGCGCCATCTAAGACAAGGATTCAACACTAAACAGCAATTTTTGCTGTAGTAAGTGATGCCATCTAATAGGCCGACCAAAAATCAGTTCGTTGGGAAAACCCAAAATAGGAAAAAAAAAGATTTCTCATTATACACTGATGAGAAAATTTTGGATTAATTTTCTTTGCTTTTCGATCCATAGACGCGTTTCGACCTATATCAGGTCTCATCACTAACTACAGCAAAAATTGCTGTTTAGTGTTGAATCCTTGTCTTAGATGGCGCCACGATCAAATTTCGACCGTTTTACTACTTCTATTATGCATACATGCACAAAACTTGGATTGGTTTTCTTTGCTTTTCCCAGCCATACTGATGAGACCTGATATAGGTATTTGTTTTGTTGCATAAATAACTATTTTAAAATTTTTTCTTTGTATGAGAATTAGGTGCTTTTTAGGTGCTCCTAAATAGTTCAAGAAAAAATAAAATTGATTAATTATTAACTGAGTTACAGATTTTTTTTTTTAATTATGAGGGGACTGTTGGCTTTACATTTACATGTTGGTGTGTCAGAATGGAAAAAAAAACTTCGAAATCTATATAATAATTAGGTGCTTTTTAGGTGCTAATTAGGCCCTCTAATTGAAAATTAGGTGCTCCTTTAGTTTTTGAGAAAATCAAGAAAAACTAAGGGACTGATAAGTTTATGATTGCTAGCAGTCCGCTATGGTAAATATATTTTTTTTTTGTATCAGAATTAGGTGCTATTTTTAGTGCTCCTAAATAGTCGGAGAAAAAATAGAAGTGAATAATTGTTAACTGAGTTACAGATTTTTTTTTTAATTATAAGGGGACTGCTGGCTTTACATTTACATGTTGGTGTGTCAGAATGGAAAAAAAAACTTCGAGATCTATATAATAATTAGGTGCTTTTTAGGTTCTAATTAGGGCCTCTAATTAAAAATTAGGTGCTCCTCTAGTTTTGGAGAAACTCAAAAAAAAAAGTAAGGGATTGCTAGGTTTATGAAAGCTAGTAGTCCCCTATAGTGAAAAAAAAATGTCCAAAATTTTCTTTTGTATCAGGATTTGGTGCTTTTTAGGTGCTCCTAAATAGTCGAAGCAAAAATAGAATGGGTCTTTCCCACTCAACTGAATTTAGGTATTTCATCCATATGGTTTGGAAGCTTATCCGATAAAATACTTGAAGGAATATGTGGTTGATTTTTAAAAAAATTATTGAGGGAAATATTAAAGGGGAAAATATGGCAATATTTGAAATAGTCCGCCAGATTTCGGACCAATCAGAATGCGCTTAGTTGCCCTATTTACTGGCCGAAGCTGTTCCCTATCGAATTTTCTTCTCTCTAGTTGAATGAAGATGATAGAAAAGGAAAAAATATATCGACATGAATGCGGTTTATCGATCCCCTATTCCAGCGGTTATTTTTTAGCTTTATCTTTTACGCTTTATTAGACAAAGACATGACATATAACTTGTGTGCTTTGTAATGAATTCTAACCACTCTACGACCTGACCTACACCTTTACCCTTCGAAGAGCTTTTGTTTACCTGTGCAGATTTTACCTTTAATTTCCCAAAATCTGGTAGTGAAAACGCCTTGAAAAAGGGTACTTTTTGTAAATAAAACATTTTCGATTTGTGCTGTTTTTTGTACCTACTCTTCGGTTTGTTGCGATAAATTCGAAATGCTGTGATCGAAGTTCAAATTGAAAGCTGTGAAACAGGAATTCGAGAAAGCTGATTTTACAAGTCTACCCCAAGTGATCATGGAAATGGTGTCGGAATGGAATCAGTACCGAAATAAGAAATGTGAATTTAAGAAGGTGTGATTTATTTTGCGTTATTTTTTACCAAAACTGCCTTTTAGAGATAATAAAATAGTTATTTATGATAGGTATAAGTGCTAAAAGTGATATTTGACTTTGTGAAAAGGGGAGTTTGGGACACGACGCCGAAGGCGGAGTGTTCCATACCTTTGAACAAAATAAAATCACTTTTAGCACTAGTGCTAAAAGTAGGGTTTCCATAAAGGTTTTTGGGAATCCAGGACCTAAGAGTCAAGAAATCCGGACAAAATCCGGACTTCGCCGATACATTTTTTATGAAGGATGAATTTTATTTATTTTTTGCAAAAATAAATTTTTACAGAAATTAATAGATACGCTTTGAGCATTTTTACCGTTAGACTGAAGACACAATGACAAATACAAGGTACCAATGACAAGAGACAAAAATATAATACGTGTATCAATCCTATAGGCTTTGCTATAGGCAATCCAGAATAAATGGATACAAGATACAATTTATTTGCCACCCCAGGATACAAAATTTCGAATTTTTGGTAGGAGAATACACACTCTTAAGGAGTGCTTATCTCTGGCTTAACGGCCTTGTTTTTGGTAACTGCTGCCATATTGGTGTGAAATGAAAACCATTTCCGACGTCATCAGCTGTTTAAACAGCCTACGTCAAGGCGAAAAATAACATGCTGCCTACGTCACAACTGGTATTTGGGCGTGGGGGGATTTGTTACTTTAAGTTTGTAGTTTGTTACACACAGGCTCTATGAGGATAGGTCATCCTGTAATAGTAGTGTGTATCATCACTATCATTCTTGGGTATCTCCGAGTTTTCCGGACATTATTCCGAATTCCGGCCGGACGTCCCCGGACACCCTAAAAACCCAAACATGTCCGGGTAAATCCGGACGTATGGAAACCCTAGCTAAAAGTAATCACACATACCAGTGTCATAAAATTGCATTTTAGACACTGACAGCATCCGTTAAAAATGACACTTTTAGTGACGTTCGTAGAAAATAGTTATTTTCCTAACAAGTTCGCAAAGTGATACTTTCCCGCACGAAAAAGCAGCAGGATAAGCTTCGAGTGCGGGAAAGACACTTTGCGCAAGTGTTAGGAACAATATTTTTTCTACGAGTATCTTAAAAAAGTAGACTGAATTGTTACAATATTAGAAAAATCAATCAAATCAAAATCTTCAAAAAACGTTTAAAATCTATTGGAATTCCTTAGAATGTCTTTTAAATTAAATTCCCAAAAATCTTTCAACATCTTCTGGAATTTCTAGAATACCAGCTAGAATATTTTCATGAAAGTCTCTCAAATATCAAAAATTGTACAAATTCCTAGCAGTACAGGCTGGTCCAATTTGGACACCTTTGATAGGAAACATCGTGTTAACTAAGCGCTAATTTCAACTAAAACCCTCCATTATGAATATTAATTTATTCAGAAACCATCATAACAATGAAAAATCAAGTATAACTATGGT